CCGCCTCGGCCAGCGCACCCTTGTCCGTCGCTACAGCGCCCTCGCCCTCGCCGCCCTCGCCGCTGCCAGCGCCCTCGCCGCCGCCGCCGTCCCCACCGCCACTGCCCTCGCCGCCGCCGCACACGGCGCCGCGGCCATCGAGCGAGTCCAGCACCGCCTCGACGTGCGCGGCGGTGTCGTAAAAGGCCCACGTCCACCCCTGGGGAGCGGCGAGGAGCGAGAGCGTCGCGGCCACTTGGTGGCGGGGCGGCGGGCGGCGGGTGGCGCGGCGGGCGGCGCGGGCGGCGCAGGCGGCGCGGTGGCGCAAGCGGAGAATGGCGGGGTTGGCGCAAGGTGGCGCAAGGTGGCGCCGCCGCTAGCCTGCGGCGACTCTTCTCGCGGCACGTGGACCCAGAGGCGGTGCGGGTCCGAGACGAAGAAGTAGTAGGTGCGCCCCGACTGACGGCGCGCGCGCGCAAAGGGGGGGGTGAGTCGGGGAGTGTCGGCTGTGTGAGGGGTGCGGAGGGGCGCGCGAGATCGCAGCGCTGAAAGTAGTCGCGCCGCTGGGGGTGGGCGGGCGGAGGGGTGTGTGCTCGCCCTGTCGCGGCCGAGCGGCTCCTCGCGCACCGGCGCCTGGGCCATGCGCCTACGGCGTGGGGGCGGCGGCCGGAGGATGAGCGCCTCGCAGGAGGGTGGTCGAGCTGCCGCGCGGCCAGCGGCTGCCCGTAGTGGCGGTGCAGCGCCGACGCCTGCCGCTTCGTGTACTTGGCCGCGATGCCGCGCGTCACCTCCGCGACCGAGAGCTCCACCTCCACCTTGCGCGCCGCCTTGAGCGCCTCGCTCGCCCATGGCCGCCCGTCCGCCGTCTCTCCGGCGTGGCCGCTCGCCTCCGCCTCGCTGACCGCCGCCGCCAGCGCCTCGGCGTCGCGCGCACGCAGCGCCTGCAGCAGCGCCGCCTCGGCCGCCTCCTTGGCGCGGTGCCGCTTGCGCTTCTCCTCGCGCGCCGCCCGGCGGGCGAGGGCCGCTCGCCGCGCCTCGGCCGCGGCCGCGCTCGCCGGCTCGTCGTCGTCGTCGTCGCTGTCGCTGTCGTCGCTCACGTCCGAGTCGGGCGGCGCGGGCGCCTCCTTTGGGCCCGCCGCCTCCTTCGCCTCGGCGGCGGCGCCGCCGAGGCTCGCCAGCTCGCGCGGCACGGGCGACGCGGAGCGGGCGAGGGTGCGGCGCGCGGCGGCGGCCTTGACGGCGTCCGCCTAGTGGGGACGCGTCGTGGACATGTCGTTGAGAGGAGCGAGGAGTGCGCGGCGGATCGCACACGACTGCGTCCGCCTTGGCCTCGCGCTCGTCTCGCTTGAGCGCCTGCTGCTTCTCTCTCAACTCGCGAGCCAGCTCCTTG